CCAACTTGACACGAGTTTAGGAAAGGAATAATGAATCAAAGTGATGCTAATTTTAGCCAGAACAAAGAACGCACTAGGAAGAAATGCACGCGCAATCTTTTGCCAGTAGACGATTTGTGTTTGCATAAATATGCAAACACGCATAAAAAACTTGAAATGCATCTGTATTGCTTTGTTTAGGATTTTTACTGCTTAAATTTTACTAATTTTGTGACAATCAGAGTATGTGAGGAGTACTATAAATCAGCAATGGGAAAGGAATGGAAACTCACAAGAGCATTACAGGTACACTGTATGTACGGATACGGCCTAGAAACACCAGAAACATTCGAATGGTCAAAAATCTGGTTTCCGGACTATCAGCCAACCACTTACTATGGCGATGGTGATGGCTCAGTGAACCGACGCTCTTTGGAAGCGTGTCGCAAATGGATTGGAAATAACGGAGGCAAACAGGTAACACTTTTAATGCAAATAGAAATACGATTAGACGAGTATCCATGAAAGTTTCGAAGGGTGGAAAAATTCTACACTTTTTTGCATTTTTGCACATATGCAAATGCAAAAGCGCATATTGTGACGATTCGCGGTGTGCGTGGGTGTGTATATATGCGGGTATTTCAACTGTCCAGGTATTTCAACCCGGCAGTCAGACAACCTCCAGCGCCAACATTTTGCCAGTGGATTTCCAGGCCAAGTGCTAACCCAGAATCGCGGTACCGACATTCACTTATGTCTGAGCTCCGCGCACGAGCTTGTGAGAGTTTCAGTGGGAGAATCACTAACTCCGGAACCGGAAAAGCTGGAAAGCTGAAATTTTAAGAGAATGTTCCTTGCTCGAGTACGAGTAGTTGCACAATTAACTTCCTGAACTTCGAAAACCAGTATGTCACAAATTCTAGCTACTGGGGTTCCAAACGATCTTGCTGTAGCACGAAATACTGCAAAAATGCATGGTCGGATGGGCCCGCCTGGTGCGTGTCGCCAAAGATTTTTTTGATAAATCAGTTAACATTCAAATGCAGAGCTCTGTTTTCTATAAAACAAATGCAGATTGTAACAAAATATTGATTCTTTTGAAAAATTACAAATTTTCAAAATTTCGGGAAATTTAGAAAAATAATGAGTTTTAACGGCTCCCCCCTTTATCCACATCCGTCTCGCTTTTTTCTTCCCTTCTTGCTTACATCTCTGAAAATATGTTGCTTCGGTAAGTATGATGCTACGCTGATCTTTGTTTAGCCGCACGTAACAAAAGAAACTAAACCGAACTGAAAGCAAAAGCATTTTGAAAATGAACGTACAAATTTAGTAGGTGTTTTACTGGTATCGGGTGCTTTGCAGGTGAAACTTTATGCACTTGAACGAGCCGAGCATATGGATATTTTGCAGCATAAAGATGTGATTGCGCTCATCAAGAGTCTGGCAGCGGGTGAAAAAAGCTAATGCTGTTCAAATGGACAGCCTACGCAAACATCTTATTTTACAGTGCTCCTGATAACAGCTCGCAGGAGTTGTGAATAGTGTTTGGAAAACAGCATGCACTCGGAATCTATTGATCTTCGAACAAAAGTGGCAATTCTGTGGTTTCTTCACTTTCTCATTTTTACTTCCCAAGGACTAAGAAATCACAAAATGCGAAATCAAAACTTCAAAATGTTTAGTACAGACCGTTTTATTTTGCAATGCCGGGTATTAGCGACCGGTTGTAATTCATGGCCTGATTCTGGAAAAGTTTCAGCTGTGTTGGACATTTTCGGAAAATTCGTATTTTTCGCTAGTTACTGAACATCTCAGACGGCTACTAGTTCGCCACTGATTCACATTCTCTGCTCTCTCCACTGATTTAGCAAATAAACATGGCTTTCGCTGCACTACTTAAATGTTGCAAAATCGATTTTCGTTTTGCAAAATTTTGTCACCGTTTGATGTACAGGTACGACGCCCTCCTCTTGCTCCTCCGTCCACGTCACGCTTATTTAAAGAAAACAGTTAAATGCACAGCGGCATAAAACATGGGTCCAACACGGAAATTAGAATACATGAGGGGTTGGCTGACAAGCACGCAAGTTTATTCTCCGCGGAACTTTGACAGGGAAAGCAAACAAATTGTTGTAGGCACATTTGAGAAGATCCCAGCCACATCGGGCTGCAATCAGGGTTGTTTGCCAGTGATCTCGCAGTTCTCGACTCACCAATCAAAGCAAACAGCACTTCAATGGCTTTAGCAGACTGCTTATCCATTCCCTGGGTCGGACTCGAACCTCATCCCACAAACTGCTACCTGGAATACCCCACCACTCAACCAATCCGTCCCTGTCAAGCACTGTCAACTACGTCGAGGTTTCCTCCCTTCCCAAGAGTTGCCGGAATCAACTTGAGTTGTCACCCAGCAAATTCCATTTGTCAAAGCTCGAAAGACTGGAAAACCCGCTTACTGCGGCTACCATCATTTGGTTGCTGAACGACCGGGATACGAAATATGCGAGACTACTAAATATGCAGGGAGAAATTTAAATCACACCATACAAAATGAACAGGACAAAGGCAGACCAAGCAAACAATAGATGATGAACTCGGACAAGAAAGTTGTATTTTTCTCTCTCCGTTATTTCCGCTACTTTATTGTATTCCTTGTAGTTCTTATTCGCGTTACTTCCCCCATCTTCCTACCAGCTGTGTTCACCGTATATTCAAACATCGAGGACAATCCTTCATTTGTTTACAAATTGTTTAATTCAGAAACATAACAAACAATAACAAATAACCAACAATAACAGACGATGATAAAAAGACCAAAGATCAAAGCTCATTCCATTACTTCATTTTCCGAGCAAAAAAATCCAACATTTTTTGCACATATCGATAAAGTAGTGAACATTTTTAAGAACAAGCGTCCGCTGGAGGGAACTGCACAAAAGCAAGATTGCAGCGGTTACCCTGGTGGGCAATGCTATGTTATGCATCTAACATAGTTGTTTGTAATACAACAAGATTTGCATTTAATGGTAGAGCCATAAACAAATGCCACGCAGCAACAGGAGTTTGCAAGAACTGTGAAGATGATCGAGCTCTTTCTCCTCTTCCCCCTCTTCAGGCAGCGTAAGTTAGATTTTCGCCTATTCTCAGAAAAGATGGGGAAAAATATTTGTATTTTCTAACAATATTCTTCGCTCACTACGTCTCAAATAGGCATTAAGTGCCCTATCGAAACAAAAAACCCAGGCTGGAACGCACGAGGT